TGCTTGGAAGAGTCAGTGGTCAAAGGAGGCCAGTCCCTCAAAGAACATGGTGGCTGGGCACCATCAAAGACTGGGGACTAATCATACATAATCAACATATGATGACCAGTTGCAGGAACTGGGCATGGCTAGTCTAGTGAAGAGGGACCAGGGGAGACATGATAGCACTCTTCCAATATTTGAGAGGCTGCCACAGAGAGGAGGGGGTCAAAATACCTGAAGGCCAGACAAAGAGGAATGGATGGAAACTGAACAAGGAGAGATTCAATCTGGAAATAAGGGAGAAATTTTCTGACAGTGAGAACTATCAACCGATGGAACAGAAGTTGCCTTTGGAAGTTGTGGGAGCTTCATCATTGGAGCCTTTCAAGAAGAGACTGGACTGCCATCTGTCAGAAATGGCGTAGGGTCCCCTGCTTGAGCAGGGACTTGGACTAGATGATGTACAGTACAAGATCCCTTCCAACTCTGTTAATATGTTAAAATAAATTGAATTTACCTTCTGGATGTTACCCAGGAAGCAATGGATACGGACCATGGAAAAATAATCCTGAGCCAGCTCATAATATTTGAATGCCGCTTCCAAGTCAGCCTGGCCTTCTAGATACTGAGCCCACCATTTCCACAAACCCCTGGAGGAGGAAAAACAAAGGGTAGGAGAGAAGGTGGATAGCAATCAATCAACCAACTAACCAATCAAAATCCAGATGGATGACATCTTCTCAAAGTATTTAGCTATTAATTAGGCAGTGGGAGCAAATCTTTCATGAGGGAGGAAAGACACAGGCTTAGCAGTTTTAGATCAACTCCTGGCAAACCCAGGTAGTCCTTGACTTTCAGCCGTTCATTTAGTGACAGGTCAAAGTTACAACTGCACAGGAAAAAGTGACTTTTCCTTCTGTTTTTCACATTTAACAACTGTTGTGGCATCCCCATGCTCGCCAAAAATGTGGATGCTTGGCAACTGGGTGATATTTCTGTTTGTTGTGGCCCAGGATCATTTGATCCACTTTGGCGACCTTCTGAAAGCAAAGCCAGGTTTCCTTAACCACCGTGGTACTTAATTTAATACCACAGCAATCCGCTTAACGGCGGTGGCAAGAAAGGGGGTAAAATGGGGCAGACGTCCCTTAACAACTGTTTTGCTTAGCCGCACAAATTTTAGGCTGAATTGTCCCCGCCAGTCAAGGATCAGCTTCTCAAAGAGCATTGCCCAGGCCGGCTCTTGGAGTTGGTAAGAGGACATTCACTTCAGAGGTGGTATTCAGCCAGTTAGGACCAGTTCTAGAGAACCGGTAGTGGAAATTTTGAGTAGTTCGGAGAACCGGCATGCCACTTCTGGCTGGCCTCACCCCCATCTATTCTCTGCCTCTCGTCTGATCGGAGTCCCAGCTGATCGGCTGGGTCTTCTTCTGTTGCTCTGCACAAGAGAACAGAGCTGGAAAGCAGGTTAGTGGAGTGGGGAGGGAGTGGGGATTTTGCAGTATCCTTCCCCTGGAGTGGGGAGGGAATGGGGATTTTACAGTATTCTTCCCCTGGAGTGGGGAGGGAATGGG